AACAACATAGCATCTTCATAAGCCAAAGAAATGATGACTTAGAAGGCTATATACTCTAGGCCACAGACCAATTATGTATGAAATGTTTAGAGTGATGTCAAAGTGCTGTTTTAAAAATATTCACATAATTACAAAATATTGTGCAAACGTCACTTATTCCTTGACTCATCCCTGAAATATCTCAAGGCAATTCACTAAATTTAAGAAATGGTGTTTTAAAGAAGATTTTAAAAAGTGGTACAAAGAGATTTATTGTAACAACTTTAAATGTTCTCTGGTATTTGATTTCTTTGCTTGCTTAATACAGAAAAGAATGGACTATGGGGACATCTTGCTAGTAGGCATCCTATTTCATTGCTTACAATTTGCTGACTATAAATACCAACATATCTGACTCCAGTCATGTTTGTGGTCTCTTAACTAGGCTCCTCAGACTGTGGCCAGTCCCTCATTATTCCAATTTCTATGAGTTCAATTTGGTTTATTATGTGGACATAGGCCTTGAACAAAACCACATGAAAGGACTGGACTGTGTTGTTGCTGAGTTCATGGGCACATGTAAATAGCAGAAAGTGGAGATCCCACGTGGCAACATAATCCACACACTCATGCCAAGTCTGTGTTGGAGATCTTGATAATTACCATTGAACTCTGATCTCCAAGTGTGAGGCTATATACTATAAATGATGAAATTAATCCATTTCTTTGTAGTCCCTGAAATCTTAAATGAAATAAATTTCTATGTTTAGTTTGGTACTGATTTCCACACCTACTGAGTCAGAAAGTTTTTCTTTAGAATGAATTTGTTGCACATATATGTTAAGCCAGGAAGATCTGGGAGTGCACAGATATGGTTTCTATGATTGAGTAGTTCATAATTTAAAGAGTTCACACCTATTAGCCTCCTTTAAAATGATGAAAATAACATTACCTGACTCTTAAGGCTGTTGTGAGGATTAACTGCATTGCTATATGAAAAGTGCTTGATACATGTTAATTATGGGAAGCTATTAGCTCTTGTTATCATTATAGAAATTTCTCTATTCCCATTTCTCCCTAGAGGTTAGACAGTACTAACTACCATGTAATGAATACCAGCTGCATGCCACATATTTTATTTAATCTTACCATTAACTCTCAGAAGTAGCTTCTGTCATTCTGATTTATAGGTCAAAACCAATTTTCAGAAATTCAATCATTTGCTCAATTTTATCTCTAGTAATTCCAGAGCCAAAATTTAAACTACATGTCTGTACTAAATTGTATGATCTTATGGGTAGACACAACTATGGAAAACTGCCATTACACTGCATTTTCTCCAGCTCTATTCTCTGGGGGATTTGTTCTTTTAACCACTCATCTGTTTGGAGCAAAGAAAAATATGGAAATAGAGACCTACTGTCATTTGTAGGGCATTGAAAACATATGCAAAGTCAATTCAATGCAGTTTTCTAACATTTTCTCTCTTCAGCTGATTTATAAAGAGGACAAGTTTGTGGCTTCTGTGAATGGGAAAATAAGCATTTGAGTGTATCATTTCCTGAATTCAATGACTTGCAGAAGAATCTATATTTTTAGGTGTATCATGTCACATCTGCGATCATAATTCACTTGAAAGTACTAAGCAACCAAGAAAGAATTGAACAAGTGTTGTCCATATGGAACAGAGAAGGATGAACCAGGTGAAGAGGTATGCTAAGCTCAAGCAGGGCCTACGCTTGCCTCCCTGACCAACATGCCCTCATCTTTAGTAAAGTAACGCAAGTGTGATTAAATTGGCTGTCAACAATACTCAACTGTCTTATTGAATGGATAATTGCACTTTGTTTTCATTGTTTTATGATTTAAATACTTATTTGTGTGATATATTACTTTTCTATAAAAAAAGAAAAAGTAATACACACCTAAAATTTATCAAATGGTTAATCACACGCTAGGGCTATTCTATGCACTTTACATATTTCATTTTATCTTTAGAGCAGCTCCTTGAGATAGATATTATTATTATCCTATATCCACAGATAAGGAAACTGAGACCCAAATCATTTAAGTAAAATGTTCACAATCACAAAGTTGGTAAAATTGAAAAGCCACACAGCCAAATAAAGATCTTGAATTTGGGGGCATTGTATTATATTGTTTCCCATATGCTCTTTCAAAAATTTGGAAAATAACTGAGAAAATAAATGTCACCTAGAATTGCATTGCTAAATGATAACCATTGTCCATACTCTTAAATCCCTGTGTACTTACAGGATATTAGGCCAGCACAACATATTATGCTTTTCATTTGCTATCATGAACAATTTTAAAATTTTAAAAATTCTTCAAATATTATGATGATTTCTTTTTCTATAACATTTAACTATTTCCTGGTTTTAAGTTGCCCATTTTTTAACCATTAAAATACTACATCAACGTCTTTATTTTTAAAGTCTTTTATGAAATTATTTAAGATTATCTTTGGGGATATATTTCTAGAGACATAATTCCTATGCCAAGGACATGATTTATTTTAAAGTTCCAACAGTTTTTGAATAAAAATTTATTCACAATATCACATGAGAGTTTCTATTTTTTATGCCTACCGATCTCTTATTTGCATTTCTGTAGTAACTTTTTGCTCCCATAAGAATTTCTAGTTTCCAGACACTTGGAGGAAAAGTGAATTTCCAGACATCAGCTACTATTAGTTTTACAAACTAATGTTGTGCTGGCAATTTGGGGGACTGTTTCACCCAAGCCATCCATTTAACTCCTTAAGCTCAGTCTTTGGCTTCTTCCGTGCTTTCTGAATCCAGAGTTTTGTCTGTGCTGCCATTTACTGTAGCCAGAAAGTTCCATTCTTCTTGGATTCCCTCCAGTCTGGCTCCACCAAGCTTTTGCATTCTCTTTGTCTCAATATTATTCAAATATGACTTATACCTCCTGGTTCAAGCTACTTTGCTTTCATGGCTTCTCTGGTTGCTGAGAAGCAACCCCACCCCCACCCCGCAGAGAGACTTTGCATTTGAGTTCAGCCTTGTGTTTTCCCACACCTCTTCCCCTTTGTGCTGGGATCTTTGGCCAGGCTTCTACCTAGGAATTGTTGAGTAACCTGGGCATGAGGAAGCAGGAAAATCTTCAACCCACAAAAAATGTTTTAAAGGCATAAACTGAGAAGAATTCAAGATATGGGGATGAATGGAATAGAGATTCTTCTCATCAGACCACTGAAACTGCACTTCTCAATTGCACACGTGGTGCTAAATCCACATGGCTAATAAAAACAGAAATTACTTAGCTGGCAAATAACTTGACTTCTAAACAAAGACCAGGAAGAGCTCAGTGAGTTGCAAGGAAGTTCTTGTTATGAGGAAAGTACATAAATTATAAAGATCTCTATCCAGGACAAGTTTTCATCTGGAAAAGAGGTAGGAATAAAAATAAGTTACCATTCAGTTTACAGCCCATGTCATCTTTTAAATGAGAATGTGTGTGTGCTTTAATATTATCCTTTACAGAATTTATGGAAAAATGCAAAAATAGTCGCTATATTCTAGCATATAACATTTGAAACCATTTTGAATGTCTGCCACCTGGTGAAGACATTAACTGGGTCAGTCTTGTGAAAATGTTAATTGATGACATTGTATCTCTTAGATTTAACTTAGAAAGATACCAACTTATTTTGTCAATTGTATGTTGACAGAATTTTTGAACCACGGATGGGAAAGTGAATATAGTTGTTCTGGTTTTTGTTTTTGTTTTTTGGCTACTGGGAATTGAAGTCAGGGGCACTTTACCACTTAGCTACATCCCCAGTTCTTTTTACTTTTTACTTTTAGATGGTTTCTCACTAAGTTGATAAAGTCCCAGCTAAACTTCTGAGGCTGAACTTGAACAGGCATTACAGTGTGTGCCACCATGCACAGTGAGATTATAGTATTTTGCAAAACACTTTAATCATTAGTAAGATTTCTTAGCAAAGAAAGTTTTCTGGCTGGGGAAAAAGAGGTCAGAGAACATAATAGGATGGGGTATTCAAGGACCAGATAGCTAAGAGCTTGAAAGACTTAAGAGTTCACTGAAATAAGTGTGTCTTTGACTGTAATCAAAAACTTGACTTTAAACAATAAAAACTGGAATACAAAATAAACTCAAGTATGAAATATATTTGACTTCAAAGTCAAATAGACTATAAGTAAAAACATAAACATAACTTTCTAATTAGATATTGTGGCAGGAAATTCTTTGGAAATTAATGCATTATTCAACTTACCAATGTCCATGCCATTAATAGAGAAAACTTCTTTCATTTCTAGCATAATAACTGTTAATCCTTTGTACAAGAGAAAAAATGTATTTATTTTAATAGATCTTTAAGGACTTATTAAATGAGTGAAAGGAAAAATGTGCTGAGAAAGAAATCCATAACATTTTGTTTGACAGGGAAATAAAGTAATAAAATATTAGATGGTAGGTCCAAGGTTTGCACTTTATTCATCCGTTTCCAACTTATAACCAGAATGTATTTTAAAATTTTATTTCCAAGTTAATGTGTAAGTATTTGGAATGTTCAAAATAGTTGGATCATTTCATAGAATAACCCCTGTCCCAACACACACACACACACACACACACACACACACACACACACATACCCTCCATTCTTCAATCACAAATGTGTGGCAATGTAACATAACACAGGTTTTGGTGATAGAACTTGGTGATAACCCACCAGCAATGGTTTGGAATCAAATTAGTGGTCTTGGGAAATTTGTTTAAGTTTTATTAACTTTGTTTTATTCATTTGAAAATGAAAATAATAACTATCTTACTGAGTGGTTTGAACATTAAGACAATGTAAGCAAAAGTCCATTTTGCACTGAAATATGACTTCCCCAAAAAAATGTTAGGCATTCTTGTGCTCTAGCACTTTATGGTTCAGTTATTTTTTAATTAAATCACTTTTTGCAAACCTTCTTGTAACCTAAGTTCTATTCATCATCTCTATACAGAAAGTGTGCTGTGAAGCAAAAAAGGACTGCAGTCAAGGAAGACGTCTAATGGCCCAGCTGAGATGCTGCCAGACAGTCCATCTGGCCAACAAAATATTTCTCAACTGCCTCCCCTCCCTTTCTCAGATGTAGTGATGGCTGTTTCCCAGAAAGCAACCTTTATCTACTATAATTCTTCTGGTGGACCCATGTGATGTTTGTACCACATTATCTTTCTTATTTTCATAATTGCCTAGACTGTATTCTTCTTGTTCAATGCTTATTACAGAAAAAAAAAAGCATTCAGCAATACATGTTAAAAACTGTAAGGCAAACAAATATATCTGCCTTGGACCACCATGATAAATGTAGGGGAAATGGGATTTTACAGGTGGGATAGATATTGGGCCCGACCACAAGCACAGCATGGGCAAGTGGGAATTCATGGCCAAAGAGTAGACTGGAGATCAATGCATGGGAAATTAAAAAGAGGAACCCTCAGGAGTCAGGGGGATCCTGGCTAAGCTGACCTAACTAGAGATAGACCAGAGTGAACAGATATCACCTGGGAGGTGAAAGAGGATAGGAAAGACAGTAGAATAAATCAGATATGGGTGATGATCAGATAGAAGGTCAAGAGGTTCTTGTTAAACTAATTTAAGAGGTTTTTGGCTGAAAGTGGATTTTTCAAGGATGTGCACAGAACAAGGCTCAGCATCTTGACTAAAGTATGTCAAGCAAAGTATGTTTGTCAATATGGGATTTGTTTCTTTAATTAAATTCTAAACTGGTTGGAGCTGAAACCCATATTTTTCCTTTACGGACTCCGAGTACTCAGCATAATTCTAGGAAAAAAGTGGGTGCTTGACAAATACTAAGTATAGGAAAGTACTTTCCTGGTAATGTTATCACAAAGCCAGAAGGTAAAAATGGGCTTGTTTCCTCCCAAGGTTATTATCCAAGGTTATTATAGTAAGAAGGAAAGGAAGTTGAGATCCAAACCACACTAAGGAGTGGTAAGGACTAGATGAAAGATCTGTGAACACCAGTCAAGCCTGAAGGCCCTTGAGAACAAATAGCTTGACAAAGATTGTTAATAAGAGTGGTTTCTCATGAACGACAAAATGTTCTGTATCAAAAAGTGAAGCAAATTAAAAAAAAACAACAACAACTTTAGGGAAAAATAAACCAATGGAATCATTCTAAGAAAAGTAATTTTAGGACAATTCTATGCCGAGCAAATAGAAAGAATTAGAATATTCATGCTACCTGATAGATACCTGATTCATCTGGACTACACCACCTCTGATAGATATATAGCTGTCTTTGTTTTCCTTATTTTGATCCATGCTGACTCAGCCAAAAACTTAAATCACAATTATAATAGCTAGTACTTTGTGCTCTGTGCCAAAATCTTATTTACTTTATACGTATTATAAGGTATGTAATCATTGCACTCATGTAATGATTTAGGTACTATTGAGGAAACAGTGGCTCAGAAACTTTAAATAACTTACCCAAGGCTACACAGCTCACAAGCCAGGGTCTGAAGTGAACAGACACCATTCCTAAACCACCTTTCATAACCACTATGTTATGAAGAGTCTCAAATACAAGGAAAGCTTATTTACTTGGGCCATTTAATTCTATACGTGTTGATATAAAAGTTAAACAATCCTCTCTCCAAATCAATGCATATACTATACTTTGCCCAAACTCATTAAAACCCCCAACTGACCTTTCTGTTCTCTCCTCCTTCTCTCCTGTCTCTTCCATGTTTTCACCAGATGGAGGCATTTTGTAATGGCTTACCCGCTTGCTAGTGGTCTGTGGCTAATTTTGGTTAGCCATTAGTGGGGTTCCAATAACAAGAGGTCTGGCAAGTGAAGGAGTAAGGTTGGTTTGGCTTTACTTTTATTCTCTGAACCCACAACTCATGATTTGAAACAGTGCTTAATCTCTTCTTGCAACTAAACTGAACTTTTCATCAATCTTGTCAAGGCTATACATATCCAGGCTGAGGTCATGTGATTTTTTTCATCTCCTAGAACAGACATGAGAGGCAGTTGGAGGAAACAATAGGAGATTTGTATCCTCTATTAGGTGGTGGCTGGGCACCTTTGCTACTTTGTGTAAATTGTTGCATGCCATTGTCACAATTGCCTTTTGAAGTGAGAAGTATTGTAATTGTCTCCGGAGGAAGCAGAATGATCCCAATTTGAGAAAAATACCCAAGTTCACACTGTTTCAAAGGACAGATAATACGTGTTTCAGGTTTTCCTGATTACAAAATTTGTGCTCTCTGCACAATGTCAGTCATATGGCAAAGGCCAGGAGTTAATTGAGAGGTAAAGAATTAGGAGATTAAGACTGGTTAAGTGAATCATTTTTTTTTGATAGTAGAAATCATCCTTATATAAGGGATCACTATTATGTGTTAGACCCTTTGATGAGCACTTTGCATGTGTTACATGATGTTGACCCCTCACAACTCTATGAAATAGTTATTATTTGTGATTTACAGAGAAGGAAAAAGAAGCTTAGAAAGATCAAGAAGGAATTTACCTGAGATTGTATAACAGGTAGTCTTTCTAGATCCCTCACTCCTGACCTTCATCTGCCCTTTGTAGGACTAACACAAATGAAGTGTTTTGTTTCTTACCTTGTTCCTACTTTGCTCCCTTTTTTTCCAACATAGATTGTGAGCGAGTGTGTGTGTGTGTGTGTGTGTGTGTGTGTCTGTGAGCAGTTGTGTGTAAATATCAATGTATACTTTTAAAATGTCAGGCACTGTTCTAAATCCTTTGCTTTAACTTAATCCCCACAACAATCCTAAGGACTATGATTACTATGATTCCTACCTTGTGGACAGGAATGGGGAACACATGGCTTAATCACCTGCTCAGTGTCACAGTGTTGAGGACAGGTGCATTCCAGGGACCCTGTGTATATGCTCATTGAGCTCAGCTGCCTGTGGCCACCTGAGCTCTTCCTAATACTCAGAGCCATCATGTCCTACCCCTTTCAAGGACCTCCAATAATTTACTACTATTTATAAAATAAATTCAAAGGTATGTTTCCTCATGTTAGAGGCTCTTCACAATTTTCTTCTCTTTTGACATTCCATTTCATTTATTGATTCCATCTACTCTAGACTATTTGTCACCCCTAAACTCGCCAGTAACACCCAGCTATGCATGAATTTTCTTGAGGACTGGAAGACCTTTCCTTGTCTTTTAGAATCCAAATCAATGTTCAAGTTCCCTCAATAGTTCTGCCCACAAAACATTCCTCATTTTCTCTAAAAAACAGCACTCAACTTTCTTCTACATTTATTTAATATCTACATAATATCACATATTTCACTTTGTCTCATACTGTGATGTTTCTCCTCTCATGTCCAAATGAAACTCAAATCTCTTGAGGTCAAGGGGTGTATTTCATCAACATTGTCAAAGCACCTGTCATTTTGTGCAAGTTGCTGATAATCAGTGAACATTGCTGAATGAAAGAGTGTGTAAGTGAATAGAAGCATTGAAGGTATTCTTAGCTTTAAGAGGAAAACAGTAGAAGTTCTACATGTTTTTTGAACTAAATTAATTTTCAGCGGAAATTAAAAATATATATATTCTACACTTATGAATCACATACATACAAATGCATAATTTCTATAGTGCATGTATGTCTCAGACAAGAATGTGCAGTATGAAATCCAGATTCTCAGTGTGAACCTCCCAGTGGTTTTCCTGTGGAAATGCAATTTCAAGTTCACTGTTTAAAGACATTCTCTCTAGATGTCTAATTCTCTTTCCTTCCTGTTGGCTGGAAATAGTGATAATAGAGCAACTATAGAAGCCACATTGGAGGATGTAGGAGCTCCACCAACACTCAGCCCAGAACCCAGAATGTGTTATATACATTATCTCATTTGATCATCTTAGTAATATATAGTGAAGCCATGAATTATATTATTATCTCATTTTATTAGGGAAAATAGTTTTAGAGAATTTCAGTTACTCTCACCAATTCATACTATCAAAGCTTGTATTTTCAGGTCAATACTCTTCTGTGCATACCTATATCTTGAAAATGTGGTTAGCAAGATCAAGTGCACAATATCCAGACATTCTACAAATTGAGAAATCTAGACTTTCTGCTGATTGAGATTCAGATCCTCCTAAATGATGATGACACGCCGGCAGGCCAGTTCAATGAGAACATGTCCGGACGCTGCAACAACTTTGTATGTAACTGCAGCCCGTAAGGCTGTTCTCTAACTAATGTGCCATAGAAATAAAGCCTAAATGTCATTTATAATTTTAAAACAACTTTCAAAATCTGTGCTGTTAATTAAAAATGAAGCATGAAGAAATTCTTTTGAAGTCTATATAATTCCCAAAGCAGCAACTGCAAGAGATTTGCTTTTGTTTTCCAAGTGTTGGATTTGAAACTTACTCATATTTCAGAACTACGCATGATAATTCTTTGATTGCGTGTTTGTGGTTAAACATCTCCCTCACATCCCACAAAACTTCAGCCAAGAGTTTAATAGTTATCAGAAGAAAAGTCTACTTCTATCTGTAAATACACTTGTGTAAAATATTTGGGAAAATATTAAATAAGGAGTCAGGGAACTGAGGGGCTGGATCTTCATAGCCAATATGGTAGACATGGTCTACAGTGTCTATTTACATGTAAATTTAAATTAAATAAAAATAAAGACTGAGTTCCCTGGTTTCACTAGCAGCAGGTTAAGGTACATGTTCTATGCTACTATATGAGAAAGTGCAGAAGAATGGAACATTCCCATTGCTGCAATAAATTCTACTGGGCAGCACTACTCTAAGCAATGATTCTCAAACGTTTTGGACTTAAGATACATTAAAACTCCTAAAAAGGACCAGTCTCTTAAAGAACCTCTTTCAAAATATGGATATCATATTCATCAATATTTACTGTAATAGAAATTAAAACTGAGAAAATTTAAAATAGCAACTCCTCGAATTCCATTAGCCATCAACACACTGACATTATCACATACAGAAAACTCTTATGGAGAGTCAGGGTGAAAAATACAAATGACATCTTAATATTAGGAAAAATGTTTGACCTCACAGATGCTCTGAAATTGTCTGAGTCTCCAAGATCCCCAGGCCACGCTTTGAGAACCATCCATCTAGACCCTACTCTTTTACTAAGTAGCTCCCTTGTTCCCTTTTCTTTCTAAAGGCACGCGGGGCTTATTTTGTCCAGAGATTCGGCCAAGTTTTAAACATTTGGCAATGTAAAATAAAACAATCTTAGTTCTTCACCAAACCTTCACTTTGCAAGGGAGGGAAATAAAGGCTCTCAGAGTCTACTTCGACTGAATTGAAGCTTCATGCATTTGAATTAGTTATGGGAGGCTTAGTAATTTCTCTGTGGGCCTCAGTAGATTTTTCCCAAACATGTATAAACATCACAGTGGCTATGGCTGACAGGCCTAAGACAACCCCTTGATGTTTATACTTAGAATCTCCCAGTATCATTTGTGCTTACCATGGAGTCAGCATGTTAGAAAGGAACTCTTAAAGATCATTATGATAAGTTCCAAAAATATCAAGATCCCGAATCAGATAATATCACATCAAAATTATTTCAGAATATTTGGTTTTGGACTATGTAGTTACAGAATGTTTTTAATTGTTCCTGAAATTGTAAAAACCTTCCATGATGCCTTGTGTTGAATTTTCAGAGGAAATACTTTCTCTTCAATGTGTGTGTGTGTGTGTGTGTGTGTGTGTGTGTGTGTGTGTGTGGAGAGAGAGAGAGAGAGAGAGTAAAATTGAGCTGCTGAGAAAGCATATTGAAATAGTTTAACCACAAAAGCATTTGTAATAATAGCTTTCACAAAAATGGTGTTATTATCAAGAATGTAAGCAATAATAGTAATAATAATAAGTGTTGGTGAGGATGTAGGGGAAAAGGTACACTCATACATTGCTTGTGGGACTGCAAATTGGTGCAATCAATGGCTCTTTTCTGGGAATTTTTAAATGTCCACCCTTGTAATTATATGAATTTAGATGAGTTTAATGATAAAAATTCCAGAACAATTCCATAACTTGTATTGATATTTGTGATTCATGTTGGCCCTTTACTAGAATGGCCTTTCATGTGAGTACATGATATCGGAGACCCATAAACAAATGAACTAAGAAAGGCAGAATCCTTGTGGCAGTGGCAAAAAGTAGACCCTACGTGGTAAGATGCATGATCAAGGCCAATTGTTACTTCTTCTTTCCTAGAGACTCTCTACTTACCATTGCCAAGAGAGCTCACTATCACGTCTCTTCACACTGAATGACCAAGTCCTGTTTTCTCCTTGTCTTTCTAAATGATATCAGTTCACCCTTTAAACCTTTCAAAGATGTTTTCTTGGTGAGCCAAGTGTATATCCTGAAAAAGAGTGACCTTCAAGGTCAACAAAGCAAGTTTCCTGAGTGATGTTGGTTGGCTGGAATGCTAGACTGACCAGTTTTCTATCTCTTCTCAGTGCTTGAGCCAGGGCTCTGACTGAAGGCAAGGTTTGAAGAGGACCTTCTTCACATGCAGCCTTAAGAGAAAGAAGTCAGGCTGGAGATTCAAAATATCCTCACCTCTTCTCCTTTACAAGTCCAGACTTACAAAGACTCAGTAACAGACATAATTATTCCGTCATTGATATGGAACTCATATGGTTACTTCTGGAACTTTGTTTTAGCAGTGTTTTACTCATGAAAACATCATCAATGTATCAACAGTTATTGTATTGAGAACACACTATGTTCAGTATTTTATGATGGTTTGACCAACTAGATTTGGAGAGAAAAGGGACAGGCTTTGTAAAAGAAGTTTGCTTGCACTGAAAAAAAAAATTATATCACTGCAAATGATCATGTTTAAATGGATTAAATTTTGAAATCATTGCTAACTCTTCCAAAAAACTCCAAAATATTTTTAAGATTATTCTAAGTAGAATCAGTGTTAGGTTAAAAATTGCCTGGTTTTAATTTATATTCAATAAAATATATTCAACTCTTCCTTTGATACTTAAGGAAGTGTTCTCTCTTTCTGGTTGATCATTATGATATCTCTTTATTTTAGAGAGTTATATGAACTTCCTTCCTTAAAGACCAGTGACCTTTTATTGCAAAGATATCAGGACAAACTCGTTTGACCATCTGCATCTGCATTGTTCAAATTCCATAGCCCTAAATGTTTTTCTATCTTCTCAGAGAAGTTCAGGCTCCATTGTGCTTCTTTTGATCTTCAAAAGTGGGACCTTTTCAACTTCATCCAGGTACAGAGTCAATGATAATGCTGGTATAGATGTGCTGCAGAATTTATGCCCTGGGGGCAGTACAGAGGAGAATTTATCCATCAGCTTCCATCCTGCAATACTCTACCAGTTGTAGCAAGTTGCCTTTTACTTTTGGGTGCCACCCTGTCAGAGAAGCTCTGGAGCACAAAGCAACAGACATGGAGTGTAGCCAAGCCACGTACTGTCTGGTTATACTTGCATACAGCTGTTTGCTATATGAATTTCTGGGTGGCACATAGGCTTGGAGGATGAGACAGGACCCCAAAAATTATAGTAAATAATTTAATGGCTCTCAGTGAGTCAATTTGTGGTCATTAGGGTGTCTTTAGATAATGGTGTTTTCATTCCGATAGACCAGAATTTCATGCTCTTTGGTTGGGATGGAACAGTGCCTGGGTTTCCTACCCACATGGTAGGGCAAAAGGAAGGCAGTCAAGTTCATCACAGGTTGTCACTAAAGCTCTGGATAGCAGAGGCAGGTGCTAATTGGGGTGGGAGGAGCTGGAGAAGAGTGAGAAATGAGAGTGGTCCTCCTCAACAGATACAAATACAGAATTAGGCGGGGTTGTAATCCTGACTGTCAAACAGGGTGAGAGTGGGATGATCACATGGCAAATCAAACATCTCAATGCCACTTTTATCATCATAGTTTTGTATTCTAGTGCAGAGGCCTGCAGGCTCATGGGAGCCAAGGACACATGTGCCAGTTGTTCTTTTAGGAAACTTACAAATAGTATTCTTTACTCCTTGAATTTTGATCCATTGTGACAAGAAGGATCTAAATTAGGTAAAAGAACAAAATATCACCCCTAGTATAACAATCTTTTATTAGAGACTATCTACATAATCTCTACAACTGTGTGAGTAGGTGAACTGACCCTAGAATCAGGCATTTACCTACCTAGTCACAAGCTGGGCTGGAAAAACTTAGTTATCCCCTATGGACTAAACTACTTTCATTCTTACAGTGAGCAGAGCAGGTGGTTCTGGGAGAGAGGTAAGAGAAAGATGTTGTTTGTTATACAAATCCAGCTGATTATTACAAACTCATCAGTCTTCAGTAGAGAAATGAACTGGATTAACTTGACAGCACACCTCCTTCTCCCTAAGTAGATATGTCATGAGGGGATAGAATGAGGGGGATAGAAGCAGTCCGTAGGAAAAGTCCTGCTTTTACCAAGCAGTGCCATGTACAGCTCAACCTGCTCAACTGCCCTGTGGTCTATTCTTCATGGATAAGTTGGAGGTGGACTCTTGACCTTCCTGCTATATCTGTTGCAGTAGATTTTGACTCTGGTGTTGAGAGTGATAAAACATAATGAGGAAATTTACAAATATGAATAAATTATTTTATACCTGTTTGTTTACTGAATGTAGAAATAGAGCTTCGAAGATGTTAAGACACCTACTCTCTTTCAGTGATTTTAAGAAGCATTTTCTTTCACATGTTAACATCTCTGAAATTGTGACATGGCTGGGTTACTATTGATGGGGAACATGGAATATTTGGCAGATTCCCCCACTTTCTTACTAGTAAATAACATAATGAGGATGTTTTCTAATACACATTATCTCAGATTCAATAATTAACTAATACATAACAAAAGTAGAATTTGTTACCTGTGTGATTCCAAACTTCAGGTGATTTTCTGGTCAACGATAATTTTCACCTGAAACATACAAGCAATTAAGGCAACACATGTTTCATGCTCTTTGAAGACTATTTCCTTCTTTCCCCATATCATTTCATGTACTGGCAAGCAGTTTGGGATTTTGTGTCTTGCTTGACCACATCTGCACAGGATTATGCTCCTTGGGAGCCGAATTCCTTCTTTCCCTGTGAGCTGAGGCCACTTAATGAGTTCTGTGGAGTGGTCTGATGAAACATGTTTATCACAAGTTGGAATGAGTGGTGATTGAATTCCAGCAGCTGGGTTTTATTAGAAAAAGTACAAACTGGGCCATTCATATTTCTTTATGTAAACTCAGTACTGAAGTGGATGTGAGGGGAAAAGTCTTGGGAACTTTTTTTATTGCTCAAGACTAGGTCTTGTTGCAATTGAGAAATGTGGGAAATAACTGAAGTAATATTTTGCTTAATACTTGTTTTCTCAAGCAATATTTTATTTAAATCTTTTGTATTCAATAAACCTTAAGTGTCTACTTTGTGTAAAGTGTGAACTAGAGGCTGCAGAGAATAAGAATGCTACCTGCCATTGAGAGTTTTATGTGACATATAAAGGGAGCCACTGAGTTCACTATGACAAGTTATAGCAGAGCTAGTTAGGTGACAGAGGGTTTGAGGAAGGAAGAAATACCATACATATAAGCTCTTCAGGTATTGCTTCTTAGAAACAATAGCAGAGTTTGGAAGTTTTGGAAAAAATTTTTTCTCTACTTGTAGAGATGGGATTGATAATTCTGGGTTTCAACAGTGGCATGCTGCATTATTTTGAATTGAATTTTCACAGAAAACAACTAAAAAATGGTACATGTACTATTTTTCAATAATCTCCTAAAAGCTAAATAGCTGAAAAATAAAGTATTATTACACAAAGATTTGAAGAAAATCAGAAATTCAGCTTTCAAAATGGCAGATGAAAGGCCTCCTTGTGCCTCAGGACATTTGCTCACTCCTCCAAATTTGACTGTCATTTTCATCACCTATGCATAATGGCCAGTCTAATAGAAAATGGCATTTGATGAGTCCATAACCTAGGAAGCTGCTTAGACAGGATAAAGAAGAACCAGGTGTACAACTGCCTTCAACCATATTTCTTACAAGATAAAAGTCTAGGTGATAGTAAACCAGAAATTTAAGATTTGACATGCTTTTGTCCTGGTAGTTGTTTGAAGCACAAATTAACTTGAAGAGAGGCAGTAAATAGCATAAGAGCATCTATTCTCATCAATTTCAAAGTTTTATTTGTGACCATTAAGAGTTACACCACAGCCCTGAAGAAACTGAGAATTTGTACAGATCTGTGTATGTAGGATTGTGTATATTTTGTTGGCACTGTAAGGTGAAAATCTACTCATACCATTACCTCTTTTCTTTCTTTCTTTTTTCTTTCTTTCTTCTTCCTTCCTTCCTTCCTTCCTTCC